TGTATATAGTGAGAAATATTTTTGGCCATATTGCCCTGCCCTACATTTTAGTACATATAATAAATAAAGACGTGGTTTTGATGACCATTAGAATATATGTTTGATTTTTCCAAGGCAGAGCTCACCCTCACTAACTTCTTATGCAGATCCTTCTCATGAACAAGTGCATTTTTAAGTCTTATAAAAGTCAAAAACTCCAAGCTTTCTTCTCAAAAAACAAATAAAACATTGTTTGGAAACTTTGTCCCAACAGGGTTGCACAACCTAACACAAATGTGCTACACTTTTTCCATTTGCTCTAAAACTTCTTTCTAACTCATCCCAAACCAAAAGGGGTTTTACTCCTGACTAACATGGTTTGACCATTTTCTCCTAAACCTTCAGCTCGCTGTAGGATAAACCTGAGACCAGCAAGTCCTACTTTATCTGTTACTCACAGTTGCCACTTCCTCCAATTAGTTTTATCCTATTTATGCATCAGACAATGTCGTACTATCGTTTGTTTTAACTGTGCTTAGTATAAATGAAGGAAGGAAGAGTTGTCCTTAGCTTCAGGCCAACTTTACTTCCACTCACTGTGAGAAAAAAAATTAAGCGTTTCCTTTTCAGGGTCTAACAAACATTTAAACTGGGAATCTAAGTACCCGCTCAAATAATGAGCTCAGTTATCAGCACAAAGCTTTAGACTGCTCTAAACGCTCAGTTTGATAAAGTTTTTTTCCTACTCCTCGCATGACATGGCTATAAAAATAGAAGCTCCGCCCACCTGCTGTTCAAACTCTCAGTTTATGAGGGGCAGCTAATCAGAACAAAACTGGTTAAATTAATTTAATAGACATTAAATGTTGAACAGACTAAATAATGCAGTGGTCCCAACCCCCGGGCCGGTACCGGGGTGTGGAATTTATGGTTTTAAAATTGGCTTTTAGTGGGGGGGGTTTTTGTTGTTTTTAAATCATTTGTACCCTCAAATCTGTTTCCCTGGGTCTTTTCCTGTGTGCTATGAATAAAACGTCTTTTTTGGTACTAGTTTTATTTTGTTGTATTTATCCACGACACCCTAGAGCCGGTCTGTGAAAATATTGTCAGACATAAACCGGTCCGTGGCGCAAAAAAGGTTGGGGGCCGTTGAAACAATGAACAGATGTGCTGACTTCAGCTCATTAGTGTTTCTCACATTGATTTCAAGTTTGGATTTTATGCGTCCTTAAAAATAAGTTTCTTAATTCCAGTCAAAGCTAAACCTGAGCTAAAAGCTAAAACTTTAGTTTTTGTCAGAAAAGTCCTTGAAAAGCAATCGTTTTACCAGAGCAGCATCTAAGACTCAAATCTATTCTTTCCAGTCATTTACAACACATTTCAGGCTAAGCTGCAGACCATTCAGTTTTTCTGTGCAGAAATAATAACTTCCAATCAACTAATCGACTATCAGTGTTCAAATGACCTTACTTGCATGTTATGCAATGAGTTCAGCCAGACTTTAATATTTATTTAACACCATTTATGGACATGGAAATGTTGATCCGCTTTTTATTTATTTACATTTTCAGTGTCCGGAAAACTGACTGTTCACTCGACCTGCTTGTTGTGGAGGTAACCTCACAGAGTTTGTACTCGACACAAACACACCCGCACTACTAGCCTGTTTATTGATCCAATAACAGCTTCTGCTCAACAAATCCCCCCATCACTATGGAGACCAGCTCCTCTCCCACACACAAGGGACTGCCTCTCTAAAAATACTCTGAATACGCGATCTGTGATGCACGGCATATTCAGCATTGGGATGAACACAAGATTATATAAGTGACTCTGCGAATACTATAGGATTATTGCAGGATTTCTATAATCCTACGGCAGATCTGGAACCTCTTAATCACAGGCAGTTTCTCTTATCAGAGATTTTGTTTTCTTTCTTTCTTTGACAGAAACGTTCACAGTAACAGGAGTGTGCTTGGTCCCCAATAAAATGCAGTGAAAAGTAGGAAAGCTGGTTGTGCCTGTTATCAGTTTTTTTTTCAGCACCAGTTCATAACAACAGTCATCTGGAGGCTGTTTATACTGCAGGGTAAAGACCGTACAGAGAGAGCCCCAACAAACAGATGATTCCTGATAAGAACCCAGAAGCTATGGGTGGGACACGCTCCTTTTTAAGATGAAGAGCGCTCCATTTGTAACGGGCTCTGGGAGGGCATCAATCAGCAACGACCGGGGGAGTGAAGGTAAAGAGAACAGAAGGCCTCTGTGACCCTGTAAGGGTCTGTGAAAGGTGCAGGTTTAGAAAGCTCCTGTTTCCAGTGCACTCACGTGTGTCCAGAGGACCAGATTACTGTGATACTGACATCAAACAGTACAGTCAGATTTATCTGATCAATATTTATTTTACATGATTATTCATCAACTTAATCATCGTGCATTTAATATAATTTGTTTAAGTGTGTGGTTACAGAAGCTTTTCTTGAAATATTTTTTTTTAAAAATGAATAAATAAAAAGTGGAAATGGTTGGACACGCGGGGTTGTTGATAGGAAGTTAAGCCCAGGAGGTGGGGCGTTTCTCACCAAAAACACCATCTCATTAAAGGACAGTGGTGGAGATATCTGTGGGTGTAGGCAGCTGCAGACAGCCATAAGTGATCCTGTCAGAGGTTTGAAGGCAGTAACATTATCAAACTTGTTGATCAAAGATTCTTGTTGGCTTGAGCTGAACTAAACTGACTTTTTCAGTAGGGAAACCTCTTTAAAAGGAAAAGGGAAGGTTTGGTTGATTAAGCAAAGGAATGGGATGGCTATAGCTCAGGACACAGAGCACGGTCATCTTCTAACCAGAAGGTTGGCAGTTTGATCCCTGACTGCATACTTTGTTCAAGACACTAAGCCTTGAGTTGCTCTCTGATCTGTTCATCATGTGTGGATGTTAGAAAGCGTTAACTGCATTTGAGTGCTCAAGAAGACAAACAAAAATCTGTCCATTTACCACTCACATTAGAAGGTGTTAATATCTAAATGTATGGTGCAGGATAACCAATCAGACTCTAGCTTTCATTGGTTCACGCCAAAGTTCTTCCAGAAGTCATGCCCTTAGCAGCTTCCTTTGAAATGCTTCCAACAATCTTTTGAAGCCTCCATCTTAACGAATGGGAAGAAAACAAATATCTGACATTTTACTTCCACGCCCAGCAGGCATACTTGCCACCACAAAGCTGAAATGTTGTGAAACTATTGTGCACATGCACTCTTTGTTAATTTTCTTCACTGGAGCACCATGTCTCCTCTTTACATAATTTCCATTTCCAATTTACCAAGCTGACTTCTCGAGAAGGCAGACCACACAGAGGGCAAAACAACAGAAACAAACATCAGGCCAAAACATTTTATAATGTTAGTGGATCACAAATATCCAGTGATCTGTCCAACTATGTTAAACCTACAACCTGAAGTGTTGATCTAGGACACTTTTATGGGCTGGAACGGCTTGGAGGAGACTTGGAGAAAAAAAAAAAGAAAAAAAAAGCAACATTTTTGAACTCTGAGGTCAGATCAGGGTGTGCAGCTGGTAACGATTCGGTGTGTTGCTAAAGGATGCTCATGGCGCTGGATTGTGAGCTGCACCTCCGAGCCAAACCACAACACCAAGCTTCAACAGCTGCTTATTCTGAAGCTGAAAATACACAAATGCACAAAGACTCATGAATACAGCAAGTTCAGTTCTGCACAACTGAGGAGAAAATTTAATTTGTTTGCCTGTCATTTTGGCTGCTTTGATTTAGAGTTGAGGCCATCCTTGTGACTGAGGCCTGACTCAGTACAAACGCACCCTCGTGTCACCCTGAACGCACAGAAAAATATCCCAGAGGAAGGTTTGTTACCAGACTAAGACTTATCTGCAGCTTTGAAGAAAAAGTTCCATTTAACAATAAAGATTCGACAAGTAAAAACAAGTTGATCTGCAACGTTGAAGTGTTTAACTACAAAAATGCACTCAAAGGAAAAACTCTTTCACAGGTGGTACAAGAATGTCTCGCTACAAGTTTATGGCCAGACATTGGCACATTTAGGCAAACGTTTCACAACAAGCTGGGGATTAACTGCAGGAGAAACCGGGAGCAAAGGCTGGTGTCAGAGTTTGTACAGTAACTTTATTCAAAAATAATGGAAACAAACCATCCTGAGCATGCAAATGGATATGCAAGTTATTCCTGTGTGGCCATCATAAAGGTAAATTCTTTTCTATTTCACTGTTCGCTTAAGGAGTTCCTCAAGGCTTAGTTTCATTTACACACAGATCAAAACCATCAGAAACATAAGGC